AATATCAAAAACACTTAGCAATGTGCTTGCAAGGCTCACAAAGTGATTTTAAATCCTCTGATAGAAGCTATCTATTATAATTGCACCAAGTACTGTTATTAATGTCTCCAGCCTCTACATTCTGTTTCTGCTCAAGCCATGCCCAAGAACAATTAGCTGTTTGTTTGACCTGCATTATAACATCATCTCTCCATTATGATAACAGTGGAGTGACTAAGAACAACATATCATCTTCAGATTTAATGGGGCAGAAGACTGCAAAGGGCCAAACCCATCTTGATGAAATGCCCTCAAGTCAGCAACTTTATGCAGAGCTGGATGTGGCACAATGTGATTTCTGTAGCTCCGATACAAAGAAATCCAGGACTGATACAAAGGCCATTGCGGCAGATTAGTCAGAAACTGCTGTTGAACAGAGAAAATACTGGGTCGAGCTCAACAGCTCAATCTCTGCTGTCTTTACAGGACACAAAATTATTTTACCCTCATTTGTGTATGCAAATGAGAAACATTCCCTCTTCCTAAAATTCCTTGTGTGTGCACAGAGTGTTCAGCATTAATGTTACCGGTGCAGGGACTGTTGCTTTGATAAGGTGATCAGGAGCTGACCATGCCAGGGGCACCTCAGTGGATGGACACAACACCGAGGACATCACAGTGCAGAATTCTCTGAGTAGAACTGTTGGGATGCTACTCTGTGAATGAAACTGCTTCTTGCCTTATATAGACTGTGTTTGTAGACAATAACCTGGGAATACATTGCATTCTGAGAGCTGAAGTCTAAAAATGCACACATTAGTTCAACAAATAGCATCACATTATCAGTTTTATTTTTCTGTTTCTATTGAATACAGAACAAGTGCTGCTAAGGAACAAAAAGGACATTCATTTATTTTCAGGGTTGGGACTTTGCAACCACTTGGGAAGAATATTCTTGATTGAGAACCAAAACATTCCATGATGCTTAACAAACCTACAAATTGAAAAATCAACATCTGCCCTATGTAGCAACATAGCAGAAGAAAGACCTGAAAAATTCAAAATACTCCTTAAATTATGTTTCAGTGCATTTATAAAATTGCTATTCTCTGAATTAAGGCTCAGCCTGGTTTTATATGGCAGCATCTGTTGTGTGGATGACAAAATCTCCTCCTGCACTTGCTGCTGGATGGTCCCAGAAACACAGAGCTGTGTCTCCCTGAACGTTCCCACAATGATATCTTAAAACAAATGGGATGCATCATTAAATCACTGAGGATGACCTCAGCTGTCCAAACCCCACAACTCCTGCACTCACAGTTCCCCTTCGTGACGGAATGTAGGAGTTTTTACCGGAGCAGCCAATGGAGGCGAGTGGAGCACAGTCCCTGTTCAGACAGAGGAAGGCACTGCTCTAAAGGAAACACAGAAACCTGTGATTATGCACTTACTGCAGTGCTGCCTGCCTGCTGAACGGCTGGGATTTTTTTGCTGCTTCCCTTATTTACATATCACAGCCATGTCTTTATAAAGTTACTTTAATAATTTATTAGATTGATCTTTTCAGAAATCTGCCTGGGCTAGGTGTCATTAGGAAAAGTTATTTCAACATATTTAGAGGTTTGTGCCCGGGTAGGGCATTTACCTGCCTCACTGCTGATATTCTAAAAATACCTCCATGTCCATACTATTATCCATTCTTCACGTCCAATTGCTCTGTTATGGTAATAGTCAGAAGCACACCATGTAGTAATTACTTACAGCTGACTTAAGAAAAGAATATTCAACTCCCCCACTGTTCCACTAGAAGGTCTTTATGCGCTATTAACTCATTCCTGTTTATTAATACTCTACTGGTAATTCTGGCTGCTGCTTTTTAGGTTTGTAATAGGAGGACTATTAAACAGCAATTATTGACCATATGGGTTAGTGGATATTTGTGGTGGTTGTTGTGTGGTTGGTTTTTTGTGGGTTTTTAATGTTTTTTTATGTTTTTAGGTTGTTTTTTAGGAGCCACATCACAATATAGTGGTCCAACTTTACATCTGCCTGGGATTAACAACTTTGGCAGTGTTCCCCACCTAGAAAATGCAAATTCCATATTTCAGAAATATCTGAAGCTGTGAAAATACAGAGCAATTTAAAAAACATGAAAACACTGTGCCAGACAAAGTGAAAATATGTTTTTTCTTTTCTCCCACAGTGGGGATAGGGTTTGAGTTATTTTCTTTGGGGTTTTGGGGTTTTTTTGGTCTGTCTTTCTGTTTCTCTTTCTTTAACTCTTTAAAAAAATTTTTTTAGTTCTTGTCCTAGAATTTTGTAATGGCCAAGTGTAGATTTAAAACTAATCAAACTTCTAGAAAAGTGTGAATTATAGCACTTTTAAGAACTAGAAATTTGCCTTCCTTGGTAGAGCTTGCCTAGTGGGAAGATTGAGGAGAGACAAAATTACAGCAATTATCTTTCAAATAGCTGGGCTGTAAAAATGGTGTCTTCCCCCCTTTTCCTCTCCTGCCTTTTTTTTTTTCCTTTTTTATTTTAAATAATTTTAAAATCCAACTGCAGTTATTGCCTTTGCCAGCAGCCATAGTTGTCAGTCACTGCACTGATGATTCCTTTTCCCACTGCTCTGCACTGGGAATGCCAAACCAGCCACAGTTTTGGCACCCACTCTCATTGTGGTGAGAAAATAAAAGACTTCAGCAGGGTAAAAATATGTAGCAGCAGTGAGAAAAGGTAAACATGAGTGTGGGATGTGGTGTAGAAGAAAAGGGATTTGGGATGTGAATTGATTTTAATGCAAAAGTACTGGGCTGCGAGCAAATATTTTGCAAAATATAGTATCATTTCTCAATTCTCTTTGGGGTTGTCCCTAACACCATTGAAGAAGAGTCAAACTTGGAAAACCAGTTACTTTTATTTGCCACTGATGCGGCTTTTTTCTAGAATTCTCTTAATCCCTAAATACTCTTCTTACACTTTCTTAGTGCTCCTACTTGTGTTTGACTTGGATTATGAGTCTCAGCTGTGTCAGTGTGGTCCTCTGAGCTGCTGACCAGTAACAGCTCCATTTAGACATAATTGTGGGCACAGTTGCTTCTGGGGATTGTTGTGTAGTCGAAAAATCTCTGCAATTCTAAAATAAGTCAAAAAATAATAATAAAGTCAAAATGAAGTAAAAAGTAATTCATTTGGAATTTGAAATGTACTGCTTTATCACTGACTAAACACTGTTTTTGTCTTCCTTTATTTCTTTTTTTCTCACATTTTTAACATTGAAATTCTTTCTTGGACTAACAAGACAAATTCTTGTGAGATGTGCCACGCACAATTGTTGCTTGGAAGGTGTATATCTTTTAGAAAAGCTGGTGCACTCCTGTACTTTTAGTGATGCTTTTTTCCCACGAGGCAAAGCTGATAGAGGAAAAACTGAAGGGATGTGTTTAGTAGAGAAGGCTGTGACTGGTGGAAGGTGGGAAGTCCTTGCTCACAGGCTTTTAGGTCTGCCTTGTCTGGAATAGCTGCACAGCACTGGCAGGAAGCTGCTGAGGGACATTAGACAAGGGGGCTGAAGGTATAAAAAGGTGACATTGATTTTATTGCTCAGAAATATGGGCCAGTTAATTTTCTTTATGTGCCTGGGATCTTGGCCATGCTGCAGGATATTTTTTTTGCGCCTGGTGTAGTTTGTTATTTAAAATTGCTGTTTAGGTGGCGGTGTCATTTCAAGTTTGGAATAAAGGATAACTGGAAATCCTGAGCAAGGTGGCCCTTGGTGTCCAGCAGGACTTCAGTGGCTTGACTCTCATCTCCAAGCCAAACCTGCCCTGAAATAATTATATATTAATAAGAGAATGTTCCCAAATTTTATTCTTACACTGTAAAATTACACGTGAAATTTGGCTCTGCTGCTGACGTGTAGCTTAGGCTGGAAAATGAGTAGAGCATGATATTTGTTGAGAAGCTGGAGTGGAGGAACAACCCATGACCATGCTCAAAGAAAAATGTTGTGAGAGTGATTCAGCTCTTCCTCTCTTGCAGGGGAGAGATTAGAGGTGCACCACTTTGTCAGTTCATCTCCTTAACTCATCATATATTATTTATTACAAGGATTTGGTTTCCTAGGCCTGTCGTCTTCTTTTCTCTTAAGATATCACTGACTATTTGATCTTGAGGGCTTATTTTTTATTATGATGGTGATTATGATTATTATTATGTACAGGTATGTAGAGAGGGAAGGATTTTGAGCAACAGCAAAACCCAAGCCTTTAAACATATGGACTGTCAGTGTTTTTGTCTTGTTTTGGCACTTATTGCACCTCATGCTAATGGTGTTATTGTGATTGGTTTAAATACATCTGGGGTCCCCTGTAGCCTTGATTGCAGGGGCTTTCTGATTCTGCTATAATTCTGTGCATGGAGGCTCTTTACTAAACCGGCTTAGACACTTTGAATTCATTTGCAGGATTTGAAATATAAAAAGAAAAAATAAAAAAAAAAATCTTTATACCCATCAGCCACATTTAATTTAAAAAAAGAGTAAAATTTGTGATGGCCAGGGTTTCTTGTTTGTTTGTTTTTTATTTTTATGCCGCGACTTATAGACTAGTGAAAATGTTAACATTTAACCTCATTCAAGACAGCCAAAGTATTTTCACAGAGAGCAGGTACATTCTTGGCATAGCTGGTGTTATAGGGTGGATTCTTCCATTTGTCAAATGTTCAGAAGAAGCCTTTCATGTTAAAAGAAGGGCAGTCTTGTAAAAAAGATGATTTGTATGGGCTAAAATAAAATTTAAAAAACAAATTGGGCAGGAATAAACTTGTTCATATGGTTGGCAAAGTGAGAGCAAAACTGTCATGACTGTTCAGTTGCTAAAGGGATGTTCTGAAAATGTTGGATTAAAGAACTGGACTGTCTCCCCACCTGAGCCAGACATAAACAGTTACAAAGAATATCAAATGATGGGGTAGCAATGTGACACCTCCCTGTTTTTTCCTCTCCTTGCCCCTCTCTCCAGGCAGCTGATAACAGAGGAAAGAGCAGATCATGGTACCAAATCCTGACCCAGAGCTGAGCAGGGCTCAAGGAGTGTGGAGAAACAGATGGAGCTCTGCAAACTGTAAGTGCCTGCCCCAGTACATCCCTTCACAAACAAACCCCCATATCTGTGGTAACTGCATTTTTGGGCAAATCCTTTCCTAAATGTAGTTTTGCGATCAGAGAGAAATATGTGCTTTGTAACAGGTTTTGGTCATTTGAGATCTACCCTTCAACCCCTGGCTGCCATTGCACCCTTTTGTCCTTCCCCGCGCTGACTGAAATGTTTTGGGTTCATTCTTTATACATTCAGATAAATCTTTTGTAATGGATTTTTGGGTTTTGCAGCTTAACGATATCAAATCCTTCCTAAGATTTATTGTCAGTCTCACTTGACCTGGGGATCAGAACTTAGAACGGTCGATGGAATTTGTTGCAGAATCAGGGAATGAATGTTGTGAAAGTTGCTATTTTTGGTTTCTGTTTTGCTGTATCTGGAGACCACAGGTTTTTAAAAAAATGAAATGATAAATAATGTTTTCTTGGGTGTTCAAAACATGATGAGTGTGTGTATTTCATGAACTTTGGCTTCTGGACAAGCTGATTTGTACTGTTCCTGATAAAGAGATGCAAGACAGCCAAGGTTTTTAGCTTTTAGAATTTTAGAATTCCTTAAAAAAAAAACCCACCACCACCACCTCCCAGTGAAGGTTATAGACTGGCAGAGTGAGAATTTCAGTTCCTGGTAATCAGTTTGCTTATCACAGACCTTGCTGAAGGGTTCACAGCCCCTTTCCAGCCTTGCTGGAGACACTTCTCTGTATAAGCAAAGGAGGAAAATGTGTTGGAGCTGGTGTGAACAAAATATTTATAGGAGATAGGACTGGTGTTGGGCCTTGTCTTCTTTGTAGAATACAGAGTGGGTTTGTTGCCTTCCTTCTGCAAAGCTTTGAGGCTGTCCCACCACTCCAGCTCAGGGGAAGAGACAGCTCCATGGCTATGGGAGGAGGAGGAGGAGCAGTCTCATAAATGGCAATTCATCCGAAGGAGGCCCAAAAGAAATTAAGTTTAGCGAAGAAAACAAGTTTCATCAGTTAAGGCAATAAAGCACAGTCCTGGAGCAGGTCAATAATGCTCAATTGACAGCCAGTCAATATTTGTACTGGATTAACTTTTCAGGGAATGTGGAGATTTCGGGGGGTTTTATGTAAACACTATAAATAGGCTGGGACACTAAAGTAGGGTTACAAATACCACGTGTCAGATTAGATTAGGATCACTTCCTGGGAGCAGGATTTCTCTTACCACAAAAGAGACATTTATATCTTATGAAATGAACACAGATACAAATTTTTTTGTTTGTCAGATATATTCCAAAATGCAGCTGGGCAGATCTCATGGCAATGCTGCTCAGAACACTTCAAAGGGCAGCCTCTCTCTTAGGTCAGGCTCACTCCCCTTCTGTCTGTGCCGTGCCCAAGCTGTGCCAGGTAGAGCTGGAATTTAGGTGGCATTGTGGCTCCAACTTGATTAACAGGAATGCTGTACAAATTTAGTTCAATTTTGAGCTTCATATAATGTGAAGAGCTATTAAGAAATATTCAGTATTTGTCATTCTGCTCCTTGCTGAAGAATTGGGCTGAGATATGACCAAAATGTGCTGGTTCTGACATCTGTAACACAAGGTTTAGTCTCTACAAGTCTTCTTTACAATGCTTGGCAGTGACATTCCTGGCACTGTCTTCTAACCAATGAAAAATCCATTTACCTTTTCCAAAGCTGGAAGCAAAGTGGAGAAATATTTTCAGAAGAAATTAGTAATTTACAGTGCCTTTTTTTCAAGCCATTGCCCTCAGGTTTCCTGACTTTTCTTATTAGAAGGATCTCAAATCACTGCAAGATTCCCAGTTCTTTAGAAATAACTGAGGGTGATTTGACGTGTCCTGCCTGTCTCCAGGCACGGAATTGAGTGCAGGAAGAAGCTGGCACTGCCCAGATGGGCAAAACAGCCCAAGTAAATCTGCCTTTATGTGTATGAAACATGTACATGGTTCTAGTGAAGTCCACGCAGGTAACACATCACTAGGAATCCCTTTTGCTGGAAAATAGATTACTGCATTTTATTGTTCTTTCTTTTATTTCTCCTGCCCTTTTTTTTCCCCTTAGAAAAGGTAATTAGGCCATAAACAGAGGTCTGACAACTAATTTTATCTGCAGCAAAATTAATATCATAAGCAACAGATAATTTCAGCTGAGCAAAATTAAAAAATATATATATTAATGACATTTTAAGAACAGAAAATCTAATTTTTTTTCCTTCTGAACTTTTCATACCTGGCTCTTTTGATATGTGTGGAGATGCTCACTCATTTAGTGAACAAATGTTTTGCCTCTGTTCCGCTCCTGCCTCACCACCAGGCCTTGCTGGTGCCGGCCTGTGGTACAAAGTTGCTTTTAATTTCCTCTCTCTGGTTCCTTTCAAAGCAGAAATGATCTGAGGGAAATGACATTGCTTTTCTTACCTCTAAATTTTCATTGACATTAATAGGAGGCAGGTGGCCAAGTCCCTGCATACAGCTTTGAAAATTTAAGGTTTAACTTTTTCCTTTTTTTTTTTTTCTTTTTTTTTTTTTTCCCTGGGCATATTCTTACACTTCTGGAGTTGTGAATCCTCAGAAAATATATTAAATATGCAACTTTAGCATGTCTGCAGTGCCTAGAGAGTTTATCTACAAAATTATCGCCTACCTTCCAAATCTATAACCCTAAAATATTGATTGGTTAAAAGGTAGTGGATAAAGATTAACACAGCACAGCAGCAGATTACCCTAATCAAATAAAAAGACTATTAACAGAGCTTCTCACAGTTCTGAAGATGTTGGTTTGAAATACAGATGTCTTAACCAAAGTGCCATGTCTCATTTTCTGAATGCATTTTTGAATGCATTTAAATAAATTACCAAATAGAAAGAAAGCAGAGAAAAACTCTGCATGCTCCAGACAGTACATTTCCATTTATAATAAATTTTTTTCATGCCTTTCAGTAAGTAGTTGGAACTTCTAAAGATCTATTCCACTGGCTAGTATGAAGTCGAGCAGTAGATTCTCAGCTTAGAAGGCACATGTGTGGTTTTAAACCTGTTACATTAATTTGGAGCTCTAGATTCCTGTGGAAAACTGTCCCTGCTTCAGACCAGCACAGGTTCAGGTGGCTTGGAATTTGTCACAAACATTTTATTTAGCTTATTAGCATTCCATAGAAGTAAGCTACCGGGAATACCGCTTGGAAAAGAGTGGCATTTGTCACTAATGCTTTTAGTGTACAGTGGGAATTTTTATCCAGCCAAAGGCTGAGCTGTGCTTTATCCCCTTGGAAGAATTTCCCATTGAGTGACGGCTGAGCAGGGATTGAGCTAATAACCCAAGCCTGGGTTATTGGAAGCACAGAGACAGCAAGAGAAAATAGGGTGGGTAATGTATTAATTTTCATCAGTTATGGACAATACTATTAAATTACTGACTCTTGTTGAAATAATGTGTCACCGATTAATAATGTCATTTCAGCTTCCCAAACTTCCCTACCTAAAATTTTTAATTCAGAATGAAAAGATGTAAAAATGTGTGAGAGAGGTTTTGGCGCTCTAACTCATAGGTATGGAGGTCTTTTGTTGTTGTTTGAAATCACACCTAATTTTAAGTCACAGTGTAAATGAGGTTTTAAAAGTTTTTAACAGTGATGTGGATAAATTTGGAATTAAAATTGAGATCTGAAATGTTGTGTTGCTCCACTTTTAAAAATAAGTTCCCTTCTCATTTGCAATTAAAATGCCTAGAATCTGCATAAAATGTGTGAAATTAGAGATAATTGAAATACAGTAGCTATAAATATGTCTAAAATATGTCTACTCCTTTTTAAAAATAAATAAAATGTCCACTAAAAGTGTGCGAAAGCCGTACCCCCTTCTCTTGTTTCTCACATTTGGATCTCTGGCGTTTTCAGACTTTTATAGCTAATTTTTATTGCAAAACAGTATGTTACATTTGTAGCCGTTGTGGGAATGCAGAATAGCCCCTGGCAGCTCTGTAAAAAATGGAATGTTGGGAACACATTTAGAAGAATATAGCTTTCAATTTCATCCCCAGCACTGGCGTTGTGGAATCATATTAAGTGTGATCTAACGAAAACAAAAGGGGAAAAGAAAAGGAAAACAAACGTTATGGAAAATAACTGAAATGAGCTATTATTTAAAGTTTGTTCATTTTGCCTGTTTGGATGTTTTCATAGTGTAAGTTGTTGTGATGTTGTGGTTTTCCAGGAGTGAAACTCCAAACCCAGGTTGGTGCCATTCCCTGGAATGTCCTGAGCCACTCCGTTCACAGCTCTGGGGATGAGCAGCCACAGCCTGGTGCTGCAGTGGGTCAGTGGGCCCTGGGCAGGGAGCCTGCAGGAGCATTCTCCATCATCAATTATTGCTTATTAGCCTGGGCTCCGGGGAGCATCTGGCACTAGAGCAGAGCAGCATCTCACATGCAAATTGTAAAGAGCTTCTCTAACTTCAGTCTTGAAACTCAGAAAAATATTATTCCTATAACATCCTGTGCATCCTTCTTAGTGAAATTGCACGGTGCTGTCCTGTTATTTCCAATGCCGTGCTGTTTCAGTTCCTGGGGAACACCAATCAACTCCCAAAGAGCTGCTTTGGTGGGGAAATGGCAGCGTTTCAACTGCTCTGCTTCCAGCACAAGCACACACTGCAATTTGCCATAATTCAGACAAAACTGAATTGAAAGGCCTGGGTGAAGGTTACTGCCCTGGCTCCTCAGTGCTCCCTGTCCTGGGATATTATTTCTGGAAGGCCTGCTATCTGAAGGCGTGCCTTGCACAGGGAATTATGCCAAAACAAAAGAGTTTCCATGCAGGTATTATCCTGAGGGTAACAGGAATTCAGCAGGTTTTGATGTGGCTCCTTCAGTAGCTCTCCTCTTCCCTGCTGCAGTGAGTATCACAAGGGACTTTGTTGCACCCTGGCTTGGGAATTTAATATTTTTTTCCCTACTTTCCTCTTCCCAAATCCCCCCCAA